TGCATCAGCGGTAATAAAACAATAATTACAACAGCCCGATTGAATCAGATGTGTTCCAAATTTTAAGTCTTGTTCTCTGAAATACAAGTAGGGTATATGTATAGGGTCTTTTACAGCTTTTGTTATTAGTTTTACTACTGGCCATCAGAAATTCAGTGGAGATTTTTGTAAGCAGTATAATTTATTTTAATTTTCTTGGTAATTATAGGGATTCAAGCAAAGCCGTATTCTCTGTTGCATTGCTGAAAAACATGTCTTAATAAACATGTTTGTCAAGTCTGAACACAATCATTACCTCTTTGTTAGCTACATATGGTCAAAAGAGAATTCAAGGCCTACATCCTAAGTTGAACCCAAATAAAAGTCTTTCTATCATTCCCACTTAAAGAGAATACTGTAAACGTTTCAGTATAATTGTTTATCAGCATGCCCTTTAATAGGGAAGTAATGTTTTTCTGATTTTTTTCTCAAAGGAAGCACTGAGTAATTTAAATTATTTTCTTCCTACTGTGAGAAAATTTTCAAAAACCTCACAGTAGTTTAGTTAATTGACCTCCTTGTCCAGTCATTGCTAGTATTAGTGAGCAGGCTAGTGATTGACAATATGGTATTAGTAAGGCATAGGTAGGAATCATTGGGTGAAAGACACTTTCGTTGCATCTACACTGCCATATAATGCAATTTGCAACTGCATTTTATGGTTAGTGTAGAACCATATTATGCAGTTTAATTGCACTGAACTGCATTGCACTATATGGGTCTACACCAGTGATTCCCAAACTGTGCTCCTTGGAGCCCTATGGGCTTTATATTCCCTTACTGTATCCCCTCTTCCTTCCCCTGTAACACAACTCCTAAACACCATTAACTTGTAAAACTTAGGATAGGCCTAAGGGGCTCCACTATAAAAATTGATTCTAAAAAGAGCTCCGCAAGTCAAAAACTGATCTATACTGACCATATAATGCAATTTTGAACTTCATTATATAGCAGTAAAAACCCAGCTTTTGACTACAGTTTTGGTTCCCCCCTTCCTCTGAGGAAAGAGAAAACCTTGAGGAATTTCAGTATTTTAGAAGTGCAATCAGGAGTGCTGAGAAATTTATTCAGAAATTGAACAGACAGTAAGGCTGCCATCCTGACCCTATTTTCCTGGAATGAAGACAAACAAAATTGGCAAGGGAGCTTCATTAGAATTTGCCTCCCTCATTCAAGAACTGGGCCATTACAGTCAGTCACATTTGCCCCTGTTGTGGGTGAGCAGCTGTGTAACTGATTAGTTTCTGAATGTATCTGAAAAGTTGTTTCTGAAAAATTTAGCTCCCCTCCTGTGGATTAGAACTTCAGACTAAAGGGTCATTGGGGAATGAATTGGAAAGTATCAAAATGATTTGCCATTGCTTTTTTTCCATTCCATCTTCTCATTTAGCTAAAAATATCCTGACTTATTTATACAAATCATGAACCACTGATAGACGTACTTGTCTAAATCATTTTCCAGACACCTTATGCAACTTCCACAAGATCATTGGCTTTCTATAAGTAAGTGTCATATTTTTTTAACCTGCACTCTATTACTTAGATCAATGTTTCTTATTTGAATGTAACTTTCTACTTATTTATATCAAAACTAGGCCAGTGAAAGTATTTCCATGTCATGTTTATTCTATGATTTTTCAGTAGAATTGATTGGTTTTATATTTCAACATATAACTTTGGGAAATCACACTTTTCCATGTCTATCACATTCTAATATTGAAGTTTTTAACTATACTTTCTTTGTTACATGAAGAGATCAAGCAATTGTTCTTCCAAAATTATAACCATCGTATTTTCTGCTAATTCTAAACTTGTGAAATGCTTCTGTAAATTCTTACTGATTTTAATGAAAAACATGTGAAGTATAACACTAAACATTGTTTTATTTGTGGTAAATTCCAATGTATTTGAAGCTTTGTAGTCTCATCCTATGTAGTCTGTTTAGTAGGAAAGACCATTGACTATAATGGGACTTATTTCTTTATAAATAAAGAGTATGTTACATAGTTGAATTCAAATTGAAATATTATTCTATGTGTTCAAACTTGCAGGATACTTTTTCAATAATTTTGTTCTTCCTATCAATTTGATGTTCCCCCACTTTTTATGTAAAAATAACAATATGTTTTCTTTGTAAACAATATATATATATGAAGGCACAAGAAACATTCGCAATTTTCCCTTACATAAAAAAAAGTCTTCAAAATCTGTGCCATTTTCAAAACTTATTCACAAGTTGAGCCATATTCTGCAAAAAAAAATTGCACCTGGAGATTTTAGTGTTTTCTGTGGGTTAAACAGCATTTTGTGCCCAGAAAATGTTGGTGCTACCTAAAAAGCTGTAGTTAGAAGCTGCATATAATACTGTATTTTCTCTATACAATCTGCTGCACATCTATTGTCTACACAAACAGTGAGGTGCATTTTTTGTGCATAATAATTTCCTAGGCTGCTAAGGTATTTGTTACGCTTGTATTCTCCTTGTTTAGGTTTTCCAACACTTGGGAAATAAAATGTAGATTTTGGACACTTTATGATATTATTTGCTTCTCCAGTTAAAGCCAATGTATTTCTCCTTACATTTCTGTCAGGCAGATGAAAATTAGAATTATTGAACCCATGAATTAGTGTGTTTTTCTTTCAAATGTGTATGTTTTAAATAATACGCATTTCTTGAAAACTTTGTTTCCACTAAACCACTGACATAACCAAATGAACCTCTTTTTATTGTTTTTAATCTCTCTGGCAAGCTTGACCTCATGTTACTTTTGGACCTTTTCCCTATATGTGTTGGTTATTTCTTTGAATTCCTTTCTGGTGAATTCCTTCCTTTTCCATTTCTTGTACATGTCTCTTTTAAATCTTAGCTCAGTTGAAGTACTTTGGATATCCATTTTGGTTTTGTTAGACTTCTTGTATTTTTACTCCTTTCTGGCACAGCTTGCATTTGTGGCTTCAGTATCTTGCTTAACTTCCTTCTCTTTTAGTATTCCTGTCCATGGTATCACACTCAGAATTTTTTAAAAATTTCCTGAAGTCAGCTCTCCTCTTAATTTCACCCTTTCTTTGTATCACAAACTCCAGGAGCACATGGTCACTCCCACCTAAGGATCTCACCACTTCCACTCAGTTTATCAGGTCCTCAGTGTTGGTTAGGGTCAGATCCAGAAGAGCTAATCCCCTTGTTGCTTCTTCCACCTTCTGGACAATAAAGTTGTCTGCAAGGCAAGTAAGAACTTGTTGGATTTTGTAGTCTTGGCAGGATTTATTTTCCAACAAATATCAGAATAGTTGAAATCCCCCATTACTACTATATCTCTTCTTTCTGCATGTTTTCTCATCTGCTCAAGAAAGGCTTCATCCAGATCTTCAGTCTGGCTTGGAGGTCTGGCGTAGACCCATATAACTACATCTTTTTTTTGTTTACACTCCCATAATTTTTATCCAGCTGCTTTCAATCTGACTATCAGGATTGAAGTCCTGCATCTCTCCACGGGTGTAAACATCCTTAAAATATAATGCTACCTACCCTCTCTCATATTCAGTCTATTTCTCTGAAATACGTTATACCCCTCGATTAACCATTCCCATTACACTATGTAACAAAATTTGAAAAAAATCTGTTCCTGGTTTGAAAGTGTTATTTCCGGTTTAATTGTGTGGCACTTATTTTGAAAGTAGTTGTTATACTCAAGAAACTTCATGTTTGTGGTTGAAACTCTATGAGATATTATTTGAAAAACCATAGCAAAATGTGCTGCAGGATAAAGTTTTTCCATGTTTTTATGATTAGGAAATAGCATTTATAACCCAGAAACAAAAATCATGTTACATAGTGCTATAGGACTCATCCCACCAGGTTTCAGTGATGCCTATTACATCATAACTGCTTTGTTGTGTTAAGAGTTCCAGTTTATCTTGTTTATTTCACATGCTCTGGGCATTACTGTAAAGACATGTACACCCATGGGACATCCCCCCTAGCTGCTTATTTGAGATTACTGTCATCTCACTGCTTGCTGCTTGTTCTGTTTGTTCAACTCTCTTTTTAGCTTTTGGGCTCTTTTGTCTAGGCCAAGAAGATTGTCATCCTCCCCCACACAACTCAGTTTCAAGTCTACCTGATCAGTAAACATTCCTTTCAGCTTCTGTGAGATGCAACCCATCCTGTGCCAGAAATGCATCTTCCTAGACAAGCAGGCCATGGTTCTTGATGATACCATTTGTGAAACCAGTTATTTGCCTTCCAGGACCACATCGTGTAATTGGGAGGAGAGATGAAAAGACAACCTGATGTACATACTCCAACCCCACCCCCACTCCATGGAATGGTTAGACAAGATACTGTGATTTATTCAAGGTCCCCATGTGCTCCAAGGCTAATTGGGAATTTAAAGCAATTCTTAATTCTTTTAGCCTGTCAGATGAATACATTATGCATCAAACTGATTTTTGTTAACCAGATTTCTTGCTTTCACGCATCAACACAGAACGAGCACTGAAAAAAATCTGAAAGGTCACTCAACCATCTGAAAATTTAATACAAGAGATATGATTTGCATCTTTCTGTATCCTATAACATTCTGTTCCATTCCCATTACTGTATTTGCCTTATGACCTGAACATTTTATTATCATTTTGTATGGTTTCTAGAGGAATGGTTTATTTTTAAATAAAAGCAGGTTTCTCTTAAAGGGGCTACCACATTTCATTTTTCTCCCCCTTCCTTCTTCTTTTTTATATCGCAAGAGACTAAATAGCTACTTCTTTGGAAACTACATCTATCAACTTTCATTTTGTCTTAAAATAGAATCATAGAATTGGAAGAGATCACATGGGTCATCCTGTCTAATCCTAAGTCATGCAGGAATATACAATTGAATAGCATATGTTCATTGTCCTCTTGAATCGAAAATGTCCACTTTAAAGTGACTTTTTTCTGATCTTTGCAGGAGATACACATGGAAGAAATTAAGAATGAGAGCAGCATTACCATAACTGAATTTGTGCTGCTGGGAATCTCTCATCGAGATGATGTGCAAGGTGTGCTCTTCATGGTCTTCCTGATAATCTACCTTTTCATCCTGACAGGGAACACATTGGTTTTTGTTGCTACAGTATCCAGTCGCGCTCTGCACACACCCATGTACTACTTCCTTAAACACTTATCTATTTTGGATGTATGCTACACATCAGTGACTCTCCCTCACATGCTTGTGAACCTTATGTCAGAAAGAAAAACGATCACATTCTTAGGCTGTGCTACTCAGTTGTTTTTCTACATCCTCCTGGGAGCTGCGGTGTGCTACCTCCTGGCTATAATGGCATGTGACCGTTACCTGGCCATCTGCCACCCTTTGCATTACATGAGATTTATGACAAGAAAAGTCTGTCTGTTTTTAGTTTCTGGATGCTGGGTCACTGGGTTCTTCATATCCATAGTGAAAACATGGTTGATATTTTCTCTCCCCTTCTGTGGCTCTGACATCATCAACCATTTCTTCTGTGATATCTCTCAACTGATGAGGCTACACTGCCCAAGCCCCTACATAAACAATGTGGAGAGAATTATAACTGTCTTCCTCATTCTCATTACTCCATTCATACTCATCTTGGTTTCCTACCTTCTGATCATTGCAGCCATTTTGAAGATTACCATGGAGAGTGGGAGGCAAAAGGCGCTGAGCACATGTTCCTCACACTTGCTATCTGTGGGTCTCTTCTATGGCACAGCTATGACCACACACTTGAGGTTCAGTTTAGGTTATTCAGATCCTATAGAGAAACTTGTCTCACTCACCTATACAGTGGCTCCTGCAATGCTTAACCCGGTTATCTATAGCTTGAGGAACAAACAGGTGAAAGAAGCTCTCAGGAATATATTAGTCAAAAGCAGAAATTTTGTAGGCACATGAAATTTTCATTTTGGTGTCTGATTTTTGGAAAATACGAAATTTAAGATCATCCGGAGAGGCCCTGCTCTCAATCCCACCACCATCGCAAACGCGGCTGGTGGGGACGAGGGACAGAGCCTTCTCTGCAGTGCCCCCCCCCCCGTCTGTGGAGCTCCCCAGGGACATCAGATTGGCCACCTCTCTCCTGTCTTTCAGAAGGAAACTTAATACCTGGCTATGGGGCCAAACGTTTGACCAGTAATAACAGCAAATGAAAGAAGATTTAAGACAATGAATTGACCTGGACTGGACTCTGGATTCTGGATTCTGATTTTAACAGATGTGTTGTAATTAACCATTTAATTACTGTTTATAATATTTTTAATTTATTGCTGATTGTTTTTATGATGTCGGCATCCAATGATGCTTTTGTGAGGCCACCCTGAGTCCCCCCCTTGGGGATGAGAAAGGTGGGGTAAAAGTACAGGAAATAAATTAATAATAAATTAATAAATATATCTTTGCCAGACCATATGTTATTATTTCAGCATGGTTGCATTTTCTTCCCAAATGACTGGCAGGTTTAGAGGGAAAAGAGGAACAATAAGAATAAAGGACCATGGTTCAGCCACATAGAAGAAACAAAATCCCAGAAAGAAAAAAGACCAAACAGAAAATACAGTGAAATATTTTGTTACATGTGATAAAGCACAACTTGGCTATACTCCTTTACACACTCACGTCATGTGGAGAACAAAAATTACATCTCATCTTTTTGGGATCAAGAATTTGTTCATGTAGCCCCCCCTTTTTTTTTGGCTATTCAAAAAAAGGAATTTTTCCAGGCTCTAGTATCTTCACTGATCTGCAGTTTGAATATCTATTGTAATGTGATGGCTGCTGAGTTAAGTAAGCAGAATTTATACATTTCACTTTTTCCTGTATTTCCCCTTATTTCCCCTTATCCAAACTATTAGTGTAATCTCAAAGTTTTCACCAGTTTGCAAATGCAATTACTCTTCATAGTGTGCATGTTTTGGTATTTTGTGTTGTTTTGTAATATTAGACTTCAATATTATTCTGTGATTTCCACTAATATATGCAAACTTTATGCACATTTCTGTAAAAACATCATTTTTAAAAGTTCTGAACCAAATGCCAAAGTTCTGAGAAGTGCAGAGTTTTGATTAAAAAAAACATAGAGCTGTTAGATTTGTATTTGTAAAAAAAATGGAGGAAACAATTTTTTAAAAAAATCAGCAGCAGTGGAGCTCTTTTTATGGACTATAATGGCAAGCAGAGTTGAAACTCAACTATCAGGCATGTTTAATAGGCCTGTTTGATCAAGAAAAAATTTGTTTCTAAAATCGATTTGTAATTGGGGTGTTTTTTTGTTTCGATATTTAAAATAATTACAAAACTTTCCCAAAAAAAAGTTTTGGTATTTAAGAAATTTTGTAAATATTAACGAATTTTTAGAATATTTTTGGTATTTCTTAAGAATAATATTAAAATAATATTAAAAAATATTTTAAAATGGAAAATTAACCAAAAAATGGCCCAAATGTGGACCAAACACAGGCAGGATACAGCAAATGAGAGCACACACCAACAGAAGAGTTTTTTCTTTTTTAGAATATTTTTTAAGAATAATATTAAAAAATTAAAAATAATATTAAAAATAATATTAAAAATATTTTAAAATGGAAAATTAACCAAAAAATGGCCCAAATGTGGACCAAACACAGGCAGGAGACAGCAAATGAAGCAAGCAGCACTCACAGCAGCAAGGAATGAATCCAATCCCAGTTGCTAGCAGCCAAGCCAACCCAATGCAAATTCCCTCGCCCTCTGCAGCAAGCTACGGGCCGCGCGGAGCCGCTTTGAAAGGGCTCGCCGGCCAATCAAAAAGAGACAGCCACGGACCCATGGTGCACTGCTTGGGAGCGCCGGATTGGCTCCCATGCACCAGCACTCCAGCAGCCTCCACCCCATTAACGAAACGAGCGGAGGCTCGTAAATACTATGGGGGCTGCTGGTTCGATATTTATAAACCCTTCCGGGTTTGGAGATTTGTTTCAATATCGCTTCGGAAATGGTAAAATTAACGAATTATTAACGAATTAACGAATTAACGAACGAAATCGCACAGGCCTAATGTTTAAATGTAGGATGAGGTTGAGATGAATACACATTCCTGCTTTCCCCCTCTGCAGAGGCAGATTTAAAAGAATGCTTATTTTATAAAGTATCATTTTCACTTTTGAAAATTTTGAATGATCATAGAATAATAGAATCATAGAGTTGGAAGAGACCTCGTGGGCCATCCAGTCCAACCCACTGCCAAGAAGCAGGAAAATCACATTATTATTATTTATTTATTATTTCGTGTACTTCTACCCCGCCCTTCTCAACCCCTGAGGGGGGACTCAGGGCGGCTTACAAAAGGCACAATTCGATGCCTACACAATAATACAGATAAAAAATAAACAGCAATTAAAACAGTTATAACAGTTAAAACAATCAATATATATCACAGTTAATCAATAAAAAGCAATCTTACGCTCAGCGCTCGCAACTCAGAGTCCCTAATTTCATTCCACATTTTCCATTCCTATCGGTCGTCGTTGTCCTTTATTTATCTGCCAGATTGCCCAAACGCCTGGTCCCAAATCCATGTCTTTAATTTCCTTCTAAAGGAAAGGAGGGATGACGATGATCTAATTTCCCCGGGGAGTGAATTCCACAGGTGAGGGGCCACCACCGAGAAGGCCCTGCTCCTCGTCCCCGCCAATCTCACTTGTGATAGAGGCGGGGTCGAGAGCAGGGCCTCCCCAGAAGATCTTAAACTCCGAGGTGGGACGTAGAGGGAGCGTTCGGACAGATACACTGGCCCGTAGCTGTATAGGGTTTTGTAGGTCAAAACCAGCACTTTGAATTGTGCTCGGAACTGGATCGGCAGCCAGTGGAGCTGACACAACAGGGGGGTGGTATGCTCCCTGTATGATGCTCTGGTGAGTAATCTGGCTGCCTCGCGCTGGACTAATTGAAGTTTCCGAACAGTCTTCAAAGGCAACCCCACGTAGAGTGCGTTGCAGCAACCCTGATAGATGGCCACCCTATCTCTGTTTAAAAGACTCCAAAGAAGGAGCCTCCACCATACTCTGGACGAGAGGGTTCCACTGTTGAACAGCTCTCACAGTTAAGAAGTTCTTTCTAATTTAATTATTGGGTTTTTTTAAAAAAAATGTACAGGCAAAAATAATCAGTTTGTTCACACTCGATAGTGGCTTGCAATAAATGCATATATTGGAATATTTTTAATAAACAATATGCAAACAATTTCCAGTTTTGCAAATTATGTATAAAATTCCAGTTTTGTAACCATGATGATCAGGCACTCACAAGGAGCTCCATGGTTGATGAGGAACAATTTCATAGATATGGAGGACTAAAGGATGGCCTAGAGATGCAAGTGCACTCTTAGCTTAAGAGGATAATAATAATAATAATAATAATAATAATAATAATAATAATAATAATAATAAATATTTTTAACCCACCCTCTCTCCCCAAGGGGACTAAGGACAGCTTCCAAAGTAAAAATGGCAAACATTCAATGGCAGTACAAGACATAGTGGACAATTTGCAGACAATTAAATGTAAATCAATCAAAAATGTGATTAAAACACATATAAAACATATCATAAAAGACAAAATTACACAGATTAAAATACATATCGAAATATAGGTCACCAAAATTTAAAATGATTTGTTATCAGGATCAGATGTACACCAATGTGCCACCATAGAGGATTCAGGCCCAGATCAAGTAGATGAATACAAGAGGGTTAGGCATTGGGAAAAGAACACAAATTTCCTCCTCTGTAACATTCAGGCATGGAAATTCACATTTTAAATAAATTCCAATGTTTCATACCACTGTTAATCTTCACCAAATAACCACAGAAAAAATATCTGTTTTTCAAAATCAGAAGTGAACAACAATCACAACAATTTTGGATTATTTGAAGGGCTAGTATATATTGCATTTAGAGGTAGAAATATTATCCTGGCATCCATAATTGTTGCAAGTACCTGTGTTAAAAGATTATGGTGAAAGTTTTATGAAGAACCATCTTAACTTGTACAAGGCAACATTCTAAAGTGACTTTTTCCTTATCTGCTATCAAGATGTTTATATTAGTAACTAACTACACATTTACGGGCATACCAGTGAGGTTTGCTACTATCTGGACCTTTTATAATCATGAAATAATGAGCCACACAGAAAGAGGGGTTAAACAAGACCACTTTACATGACAAATCTATTTAATTGAAGAAAAATAAAAGAAGGGAAGCAATCTGATATGGGTCTGACTCAGGCCAGTGTTAATCCACAACCACCTCATCAGCTTCCCTTGGATAAAATTTCTGACCCTAAGGACAAGCCAACGTTATGGGTTACTCACTGTAAGACAAATCTAGGACACTTTCAAGTTGAAGAATTTTGTAAGAGAAGGCAACTTCTCATCCCAAGTTAAGGATGTTTTTTTCACAATTCCCAAGTCACAGGACCTAAAGGGACAATTCCAAAATCACACCTTTCACCAAAAGGGTGACAATGTGTACACCAAACTCATATTCTTCTATCTATATCTGTCAAAGACCAGTCCCCTTTCCACCACCAACATGACTTTAATGAACTCTGATGTAAATCTTTCTTTGAATAGACTGTTATAAGCAGAATCCAACAAATGTGGTAACAAAACTTTATCATATATATATATACACACACACACACACACACACACACACACACACACCATTTTTGCCCCATTTTGCTGCTTTTTATCTCAGCAAGGACAGGACCTACCATGTGCTACCATATAATGCATGGCAAGCCATGACCACATTCCTCTCAAAGTTGAGGAGAAGCACCGAAAGGTGCTTTCACCTCCACTATGGGGGAAAAAAGTGTACTGCAGGGAGCTCCAATGGAGCTACCTGCACTTTCCTTT